ACACCCTTACCATCATCTACATAACCAGTAACCTTTTCAAAGAATGTCAAAAAATTTGTAAGGAAAGATTTTCCTTAGTGAAACAATGTCGACTATCCAATAAAATTTTAAATGTTGTTAAATGACTTTGTAAAGCATCTTTTAACAGACTTTCCAAAACTTTTCACACAACTGATGTAAGACTAATGGGTCTACAATTACTGGGACAATTTTTATCACCTCCCTTGTAAAGAGAAGTTACATTAGCCAACTTCCAATCCTCTGGTACCTGCCCACTATTCAAGGACTGACAAAAAATAGTAATAAGTGGCTCAAATATCCAATCTTTAACCTCCTTCAAAACACATAGGAAAATATTATCTGGCCCAGGAGCCTTATCATTTTTTAAATTTCTCAATTTTTTCTTAACCAGCTCAGAATTAATGCAGTCATCTTGTTTCCATTTATCAACTGTTCAGGATGTGGAATACTACTTAATTCTTTGTTAGTAAAACTGAAGAAAAAGCAAAATTTAATGACCCAGCCAGCTCATAATTATCAGATACTAGCCTTCCTTATTTTGTTTATCCTTAATGTATTTAAAGAAACCCTTAGTGTTAATTTTTACATTTTTGATGTTTTCTTTAATTTTATCTCTTAAACTCTTTGTGAGCCAACCTGGTTTTTTAATTGCAGCTGCCCTTTTCTTTCTTGAATATTTTAAAATTTTCCACATCTGATCAGCATCTCCAAATAACCCAGCTGCCCAATTCACAACAGATAATTCTCGTTGCATCCCTTCAAAATTTGTAACCAAAATATCATTATTCCTTTTCTCCATATGCAGCAAAACATCAAACCTAATACAGCAATGATCACTTGCACACAGATGTTCCCCAGTTTCCACTCTCTCAATCATTTCTATATTTAAAGTTAACAATAAATCTAAAATAGTATTCTTTCTAGTAGGTTCCTTAACTAACTGGTGAAGAAAGCCATCCTGAACAGTTTCCAAAAACCTTTCTCCCTCATGGTTTGACTCGAGCATTTCCCAATCTATATGCTTGAAATTAAAACACCCATAATTATGGCTTCATTAACAACTGAAATCTTAATCTCATTGTAAAGTTTCTCACTAATTTTATCAGTATAATAATATTTGTTTGTTTGTTATGAATTTCGTGTAAAGCTACATGAGGGCTATCTGCACTAACCATACCTAATTTAGCAGTGAAAGACTAGAAGGAAGGAAGCTTATCATCATCACCCACCGCCAACTCTCGGGCTACTCTTTAACCAATGAATAGTGGGATTGACCAAAACTTTATAATGCCCCCACAGCTGAAAGGGGATCATGTTCGATGGGATGTGAATTTGAACCAGCAACTCGCAGATTGCAAGTCGAGTGCCTTAACCACATGGCCATATAATAATAATATAATGTATAAATACTTACTACCTCAGTAATAAAAATACTAATATTATTATAGGCATATAGTAATAATGAAAACGAGAAATACTACTACTAGTACTAATACTCATACAGGAGTAAAAATACAACCAGGCCAGTAACGTTACAAAAATCTTTTTTAACTTCTCTCATAAATAACTTTACGAGTTATTCAGTAGTAATACTAATAGTAATACTACTACTACTATTAGTACAATTAGTAGTACTAGCCTACCACCACTGCCGTTTTTCAACTTTTCAGTTTTTGTTATTCATGATCCAAATTGATGTTGTTATTACTATCAAATTTTAGTCACTTCTGTTTCTGAGGTTCATGAAAATAGCGCACAATTACTTATTAATTAAAAGATCAAACAGCAAAGTAAAAAGCCAAAACCCACTAGCATTATCATTAATTAGTTGTGCATAACTATGAATATGGGAGTAACAATAAGAAGTAGTTTTAATAACAGTAAACAATTTAAAGTACTAGTAGTGACATCTAGCGATTCTGTATGTCAAAATAATTCATAAAAAACTATTTTTCTCAGTTGTAATTAAATATTATTACTGTCGATTTTTGATCGATATTTGCTATTTGAACATGATCGAGCTAAGATACCTATAAATGTTATATATTACACAAAGAAAAGCATGATAGCGCGTATCTGTAAGTATCGTCTTAAAAAAGTCTTCAAGTACCCATGACTTCGAAAACAAAAGTTAAAGTAACGCGGAATGTAATGTATTTACATATATTTTGCTGCATCATTGGTGCATTACATATAATGCATCTCGTTTGTTACCTTCTTTATTTATGTATACATTTGCAGGAAGGACTGGTGTTATCTTAAGGGAACCACATAGAAGAATAGGTAGATAGAGCAAAAGTAAGTTAACGACTTCCTAGACGACGTGCTATATGAAAACTGCACATGTACTAGAATAAACAAAATGTTTAATGGAAAAGATAGCTGTAAGGTTGTAGCTAGTGTAAAAAAAGGTAGACAGCAATTTTCTCTAAATGATAATAACTATTCACGCAGGTAGCAATTGCACAGAGAAAGAATGGTGTTGTAGTTTTAACTATATAATATGGTGCTTTATAAGATTGGAAAAAAAATTGCAGAATATCTAGACATTAAATCTATTAAACTTGTTAATTTCTCCAATAAAGATAATCGATGTTTGTGTTCATACTGTGTTATTCTCAAGTCAACTGATTTCCTCACAAGTATTAGATAAATTTGCTTAATCAAAGCAGGATCGAACAGGAAATTTGAATCTGAATTTGATAACTCAACTGAGTTTTAAGCTGCGTGATAAACAGACTGGACACGTCTGAACAAATATGAAAACAATCTTAATTGATGACACAGCATGCTTCAGTATCTCTTTTCAATCAAGACAAGGAAAACCAACAGAATTCTCAATAACTAAGACTCTATAGTGATACAGGAAACCTTGGTTTCTTTGCAACAGTGTCACCACATGATTGGTCAATCTTTCACAGCATTCATTAGCTGTGATATACAGACATCATCCACTTGCCAAGCCAAAGATGTTACAGTCGTTCACCCCTTCAAGATGAACCTACCACTACATCCCTTCAGGCAGAGTGGATATTATTTGCTATATAGAACATAGACATTAAGGCAACTAGAACAAGGCAATGTTTTTTTGGGCCAAAACTACAAAAACAAATTAAATGAAAAATTATAAAAACACCTATATTAATACAAGTAAATAGAAAGCATATGATATATCAAAATGTTAAAGTATCTCTTACTTCTCTGTTTCAGGATTGTCCTCAAGCCAACAATTGAAATTAAACTTCAAACCAGTAACCTTTAAACATGCGCAAAGATAAAGGAGCACATTGACCTTCCTCTGTTCTTGGAGAACAAATATATGCCTTATAAATGGCAAAACATTTTAACAAAGAACCACACTCTACTATTAGAAATATCCCTTTTAATGATGATTTTAAAAACAAAATAATCCATAAATATTAATCTTTTTAATGTGGTAGCAGAATATACTGTTACGTCTCCGTTCGTTAGTTGATTTTCCGTAACTTCGTTCACACGAAACTTTAGCGACACAAGTCCTTTATTAATAATCCTGGTTTATTCTTTCCGAATATAACTTTACCGATACACTTATTTTCAACAGTCGCTCTATAACAAACGCTATAACAACGAACTTCAACAATACTTTCTGACTGCAGTGCAATTACTCACTACCTACACACACATTGTCACGTCACGCCGTGACCATTTTATAAATACCAGACAACCCCCAATCTAGCAAATGCTAGAGCACTCCCGAAGGAACAGGATAGTTCTAGAAAACGGGTGGCATGATACTAGTCACGTGATCTCGCTGACGCAACAATACTAATACATAATGAAAACACGTAATAAAAGCATGTGATATGTAGGCATCTGATATATTTTCTACTTAATTTAAACTTTTAAAATTTATCGTTTATTCGGTTTCTAAGCAGTTTTAGCATAAATACTTGGTCCAAAAGGCCGTTGAGGTTGCCTTTCAAATTGCCATGTTTCTTTGTTCTCTATAGTAGATAATG